TTGGCTCCTTGGTCTGCTTCCCCTTCTCCTGTTCTGTCCACCAGTTTACTCCATGGCCACCAGCAAGGCCGTGCCCAGCTTGGGTTGAGCTCCTGGCCAAGCCCAGAGCTCCTGGAAGAGAGAGGAGAGATGATGAGGGAGGAGGAACTGGGCACATTCCTGAAGCACAGAACCATGGGTGGGTTGGGACCTTAAAGAGCATCTACTCCAACCCCCCATACATGGGGGTCCAACCCCACCCTACATGGGGGTCCAACTCCCTGACATGGGGGCTCCAACTCCCTCTAGACCAGGTCGCCCCACCAGTTTATTCCACAGCCACCAGTAAGGCCATGCCCAGCTTAGGTTGAGCTCCTGGCCAAGCCCAGAGCTCCTGGAAGAGAGAGGAGAGATGATGAGGGAGGAGGAACTGGGCACATTCCCGAATCATAGAACCACGGATGGGGTGGGACCTTAAAGAGCATCTACTCCAACCCCCCATATGTGGGGGTCCAACTCCCTGACATGGGGGTCCAACCCCACCCTACATGGGGGTCCAACCCCCCATACATGGGGGTCCAACCCACCCTACATGGGGGTCCAACTCCCCCAAGCCCAGGTTTCTCCAACCTGCCCTTCAACACTCCTGGAACAGTCAGAGCAGGGAAGTTCTCCAGTGGATCCCTGGGTTTTCAGCAAGCTCCAGAAGGCCCTGGTGAGGGGCACAGGGATGGGTGGGCAGCCCAGGGTGCAGAGCTTGGCCTCCCTGGGCATAAATCCCCATGGCCAGGGCTTTATCTGGGCTGGCCTTGAAGCTTTCCCAAGGTGGACACAAGCCTAGAACCTGCCCACTCCCAACGGACACGTGCTCAGCATGTCCCCTGGGGCAGGGGCTGCCTTTGGTCTTCCAGCAGGTCCAGGAGGTGGGTTCAGATGGAGGAGGACACAAACCTCACTGCAGCTCCACGGGGCCACCAGCATTGCTGCTGCAGCAGGAGGAGGAGGAGGAGGAAGCTGCCTCCAAGCCGTCACAGCACTGAGGTCTCCAGGGTCCAGTTTTCTTGGGCTAGGGATGGAAAACAGAAGGATAAAGAGAGGAAACGAGGTGAAAAGGACCATAGTTACCAAGAGTCCTGGCAAAATAATGCCACAGGGCACCTCTGAAGTTCTCAGTGGCTCTTGTCAGACCAGCACTGGGTGGAATTGACACCAGGAACATCCACACCAACCTCCTCCCTGAGGCTCCTGGAGCCTGAGGGTTCTCAGGGCTGTGGGGCTTCCAAAAAATCCAACCCAACCCTAGGAGATACCAGGAAACATCCAAAGAACCCACTGCCCTCCCAGCAACACCATCAGTCTGGGAGCAGGATGGGGGGGAAAGCCCAGGCCAAGGTCCCCATGGACACATCTGGGTTGGGAATGTCCCCCTTTCCCAGTGCTGAGGGGAGATCCAGGCTCCCCATGGACACATCTGGGTTGGGAATGTCCCTCCTCCCTGTGCTCAGGGGAGATCCAAGGTCCCCATGGACACATCTGGGTTGGGAATGTCCCCTTTCCCAGTGCTGAGGGGAGATCCAAGGTCCCCATGGACATATCTGGGTTGGGAATGTCCCCTTTCCCAGTGCTCAGGGTAGATCCAAGCTCTCCAGGGACACATCTAGGTTGGGAATGTCCCTCTTCCCTGTGCAGCTGTTAATTAGGGACCATTTGATTGAGTTTGATTAAGATTCCTGTTCCCTTAGTAACTAAAAAGGCTGAAGGATCAAGGGAGTTGCTTCCTAGGGAAGGATCTCAAGGAGGAAGAGGAGCAGGAAGGATCCAGGGGGGGCGTTTCTGGCTCTGAAACACCAAGGAAATGGTCATTTGGGGATGGCAAAGAGCTGAGGAGAGATTTCTTGGGCTGAGAAGTGTTTCCCAGAGCAGGGGGGCAGCTGGTCTGGAGGGGCTCACCAGCCAGAGCAGATCCCACGGGATCCAGGGGGGTTGGAATGTCTCCAGAGAAGGAGACTCCACAGCCTCTCTGGGCAGCCTGGCCCAGGGCTCTGGCACTCTCACAGCAAAGAAGTTCTTCCTGACATTCACATGGAACCTCCTGGGCTCCAGTTTGCACCCAGTGCCCCTTGTCCTGTCACTGGACATCCCTGCACAAAGCCTGGCTCTGTCCTCCTGACACTGCCCTGAACAGATTTGTGCCCATGGATGAGGTGGCCCCTCAGTCTCCTCTTCTCCAAGCCCAACAGCCCCAGCTCCCTCAGCCTTTCCTCAGCAGGGAGATGTTCCCCTCCCTCCAGCATCTCTGGGGCTCTGCCCTGGGCTCTTCCCAGCAGTTCCCTGCCCTTCTGGAACTGAGGGGCCCAGAACTGGGCACAACATTCCAGCTGCAGCCTCACCAAGGCAGAACAGAGGGGGAGAAGAACCTCCCTGACCTACCAACCACCCCTTTCTGATCCACCCCAGGAGGCCACTGGTCTTCTTGGCCACAAGGGCACTTTGCTGGCTCATGGGCATCAAATCCACACTTGAGTGCTCCAGCTGAAGGCAAAAGCAGCTGCCCAGGGCTCAATGGGAACTGTTTGCTCCCCAAGGTCTCAGCCACGAGAGGGTTTGGTTTCCCTCTACTCAAGGGAATGAACCTGGACTGCAAGAAGTGCTGCTGCTGCTGCTTCTGGAACCCCTGGGGAAGCTGCTGGGCTCTCCTTGCTCTGGAGGCACCTGCTGGGCTGCCCAGGAGGAGGCAGGTGATGGATGGAGCCTGGAAAAGCCCCTTCTCCATCCCCCCAGCCTGGCAGGGCTGGGGCACCTTCCCTGGGAAGTGCTGAGCTGGCCCTGCTCCAAGAACTGGGTTCTTTGGGTGTTTCCTGGTATCTCCCAGGCTTGGGTTGGGGTTTTTTTTTGGAAGCCCCAGGGCTGGGGATGTTGCTCAACGTGCTCAGGGGAGCAGGAGGGAAGAGCTTGTCCTTCCCTGGGCTCCTCCAGAGCTGAGTGCTCTGCCAAGGAGCTGACCCAGCAGAGCTTCACCAGCCAGGCAAGCTCAGCCTTGCAAAGCCCTCCCAGATCACCTGTGAGGAGACCTTCAAGAACTTGGCACCTCTCCCTGCACAGCTCCCAGAGCTCCCTCAGCCTTGGCAGGAGAAGAGCCAGGGACCTGCAGGTGCTCCAGCACCTGTGGAGCTCGTGGCAGTGTCACCCCAGTGTCCCCAGGGCTGCAGGGCCAGCAGCTCTGGAGAGGAGCAGAGCAGGGAAAGGGCAGCAGGGCTGCTCAGCCTGGAGAAGAGAAGGCTCCAGGGAGACCTCAGAGCACCTCCCAAGGCCTGAAGGGACCCTCACCCCACTGAGCTGCTGCTCAGTTGGCCAAGAGGTGTCCCCAGCCCTTCAGGAGAGGTCCCCAGCAAGGTACCTGAGCTGGAGCAGCTCTTCCCCCAGGCACAGAGACTTTTCCACCACCCTGAGGACCTCATGATGTCCAGGGGGAGGTTGCTGGTTCTCCTGCCAGTGGGGCTCTCTCCATCTCCTTGCTCACAGACCTGCCCCTGGTTCCATGGCTCTCCCACCAGCTCACCCACCACCCCCAGGCTCACCCAGCCCAGTGCTCAGAACTGGTTCTCCTCAAGCCCAGACGTGCCTGGAGGTGCAGCCACCCCAGGAGGAGCTCACCCCATGGCCCTGGGTGCCTGTTCAACCCTCCAGGGCAGCAGGGCTGCTCAGCCTGGAGAAGAGAAGGCTCCAGGGAGACCTCAGAGCACCTCCCAAGGCCTGAAGGGACCCTCACCCCACTGAGCTGCTGCTCAGTTGGCCAAGAGGTGTCCCCAGCCCTTCAGGAGAGGTCCCCAGCAAGGTACCTGAGCTGGAGCAGCTCTTCCCCCAGGCACAGAGACTTTTCCACCACCCTGAGGACCTCATGATGTCCAGGGGGAGGTTGCTGGTTCTCCTGCCAGTGGGGCTCTCTCCATCTCCTTGCTCACAGACCTGCCCCTGGTTCCATGGCTCTCCCACCAGCTCACCCACCACCCCCAGGCTCACCCAGCCCAGTGCTCAGAACTGGTTCTCCTCAAGCCCAGACGTGCCTGGAGGTGCAGCCACCCCAGGAGGAGCTCACCCCATGGCCCTGGGTGCCTGTTCAACCCTCCTGATGCTGCACCAGCTG